TAAGGTTATTCATGTTAAAAGCTACGTAATAAAAGTTAGCACTATTGAATAAGTTGACTTAAAGCTAGTAACGGTTGTGGGTGTCCTTATTCAAATGTAATCTTTGTCCAAATCCTGGTACTACGACGGCTGTCTGGACACCACCAAGCAGCGTGCAGCGATGAGGAAGACATGCTAGCAGCGGCCGTAGGGCCACGATGACAGCAACGATAGGGTGGAGAGGGTGAGACGACGCATAAGGCAGGGTGTCTGTCGAGTCGGCGCATCGCTACTCGCTAACTACAATTTCATGATGGCGCTGCGGTAGGGGTGGGTGCACAACAGCACAAGGCGATGTTGGCATGGTACGCCACGAGCGGCAAGTGCATGGGCAGGTGGTGATGTCCACGAGAGAATTGGGAAAGGAGAGATGGAACTGACATGTTAGCTCGGACCCGTTTAAATGGTTACTAGGACACGAACAAAGATTAAGTATGGAAAGAACGCGAGTATAAAATTGGCATAATACATCCATGCATTTTTAGGACCGGCTATGCGCTTTACTCTATATTTTTTCACTAAGTAATCTATCCATCCCAAATTATAAGTCATTCTAATTTTTTTTTTGAGTCAAAACATCTCAAATTTAATCAAATTTATCTAATAAAATAATATAATTTATAATACCAAATAAGTATTATTAGATTTTTCTCTTGAATACGCACAAGCAATATGTATCTTTGTATTAAGGAGAAATAGAGTTTCAGAACGTACAAAATGCCAGTCTCTGGCCACGCTAGTGTTTCATCGTGGTGTTTAACTACTGAAACTCCAGGCCTGAATTTCCGGCTTACGGGTGTGCTAAAGCTCTTAGCCCCCTCGCGCCTGCTTCTACCCATTTGATATTATACATCTTTGTAATTGCTTTTTAAATTTTGATCATAAGATGCTTTAAGTCTCTAAGAATGTTATAATTACTTATAGTTTAGAATGGAGGGAGTACAAAAGAAGAAAGGGCCTTTGCTATCCTGCTCTATTTATCATTCACCCTGTTCGCTGACGCTGAAATTTAGCTTATGCTGATGCTGATGCTTATGCTGAAATATTATGAGAGAAAAACTTTATATGTTTAAAAAGTAGTTCTGAATAAGCTCAAGCGAACCGGAGATTATCTTATTTGCCACTTATTCATTTTAGTTAGATCAGACAGAAGACAATCTCAAAAGCTGCGCTATGTACAAATATAAGCGTACAAGTAGCAAGGGCTGCCGTAGCGAGTGCACAGACAATCCTACGCCTGGGTGATTAGAGTACCTTAACATAATGGGTAGAGTAATTAGTGACTCCCAAGGACATTCGGCGCGAGCCGCACGACGGAGGCTACCATCTCCTCCTTTCTCTTGTACTGTTCTATCGTAAAGCTGGAAGCTTTTCTTGCACGGTGCTCTACAATGATTACCACGCCAACCGCAGGCCGCAGCCTCACCCTCACTGCCGAAGGAGTCAGGACAGGGCAGCACGGCGAACCCACAGGGCCAACTTTAGATGCGGTGAGTGTGGCTTTGATTTATTTTGTTGCGAAAATTACCGGTAAGGCCTTGTGAAAGTCACTTAGTTCTTTAATGGTCCTAAAAACTAAGTTGCTTGCATGGTCGTGTGTTCGAATTTTAGTCCACTATACGATACTACCGTCACTTTTCACGGGGCCGTGTGTTTGGTTTTGGATATAAGGAATAGATGATCCTATCCACATTTTATGAGATAGAACAATCTCAAGTAGCTGTTTAGTTAGAGGGATAGGGGCCCAGAGGGATGAGTAGGCATACCATTGGCCTCCACATGCTATCTATGAACTCAGTTGTCATTTTACATTACATTCTTCCTAGTGGAGCACGAGACTTAGGCTAGGACAACACCGTCGTCGGGGCTATAAGGGCGCCACCATGGGCTCGAGCTAGTGGCACGGAGCGGCTAGGTAGATGGCATCGTGGGACCGAACTAGTGGGGTGGATCGGTTAGACAGACATTGCTGTCAGGCCAAAGGAGAGAGGAGTAGCCGAGTAGGCAGGTGCCGCCGTTGAGCCGAGCTAGTGGCGTGGAACGGGCGAGTGGGTACCACCGCCAAGCCAAAAGGGCGGAGTAAGTGTGTGTCGCAGTCATGGCTGGGCCAATGAGGAGGAGGAGGTCGAGCATAGCCGGTGTGGCAAAGCAGGTGAGCAGGAAGAAGAGAGGACACACGAACAAAGATGAGCGACATAAAAAAGGGACCAGATGGTACTTCAGTTTTGGAGAAACGAAAAGGGACATCTTAAAATACGGGGCTTTCTATCTATCGTTCGGTTGTTTTAATGACAGGCCACAACCGAGTGTTGATAAGCTAGAAAACAACTGACAAACAAACCAAAAAAATTGGACACAATTTTCAAATTGTACGATGCAAAACTAACGGACATCCTTTTATGGCTAACCTCGCACGTGTGCTTTTGTTTTAGTTTCGTGCGCTCGGCAACACACTCGGTTTCTATTTTGACCCGTGCATAACTTAAATATATAACTTACGTGGCAAAGATATACATATAACTTACTACGTGATAAAGTTAGATGGTATCCATATAAAAGTTAGATTTATAAGTTAGATGAGCAAACTTATATGTACACATCAACATTGATAACTTATATTATAATAACTTGTTTATATAACTTATAAGTTAGATAAATAAATTTATATGTACAAGTCAACATTCTAACTTATAATATAATAACTTGTTTAAGTCAATATTAATAAATTATATTATAATAACTTGTTTGTATAACCTATAAGTTAGATAAATAAACTTATACGTAGAAGTCAACATTGATAACTTATATTATAATAACTTGTTTGTATAACTTAGATATATAACTTGATGAATGACTAAGATGTATATTTGAACGTATAAGTTATATTCAAGTATTCAGATGTATAAATTAATATCATAATATATTAGCAGATATATGAAACTATGTTCAAAAATAATTATGTAGTTTAATTTATAAATATGTATAAAAAGAGAAAAAAATGGTAGAAAAAAAAAAGGAAGAAAGAAAGAAACGTTCGTACATGTGCAGCGGATGGCCTTCACGAATCCACTCACCGTAACACAATCAACGATGTATCGAACTGTTGAAAAATCATGTGATTAGATAGAGGAAACAAAAGAACCAGTTAATGGTTAGCTTTTTCCTAAAATATTCTCTATTACCATGGTTCCATCCCACGTATCCTGTAACCAAACACCGGAGCATTGCAGTATGCTTCCTTCCATCAGTCTATCAGAGGCCCTGTTCGTCTTTCTTGTGATCCGTTTTTTTAACTTATTTTTTTAGTTAGAACGATATTTTTTTATAGTAAATTAGTCGGAACAAAATTTCGATTCGGTGTCTCTTAGTCCCGTGCGTGCCGTGCTGCTGGCCTGCACGTGCACGGAGTTGAGAGGAGACGAGAAACGCCTCGGCCCGGCCGCTCCAGACGGCGGATGCCGGACGGCAACCAACCAATCTACGTCTTCACACGGGAGGATGGGTGGTCCATGAACCCGGTGTTTGCAATTGCAAGCCATGGTCGAGCCCCGTCCTCGATCACCGCCGAGCCGTCTCCGATCTCCGCGCTCCGCGGCTAGGCAAAGGCAGGCATTGGCAAGGAGCCCGCCCCAGCCCCTCCGACGCGACGGGCGCTAGCGCAATCAATGCCACCAGCTCCGCCCCCTCGTACACCTGTCTCACCTGCCAAAACCGCCCGGCGCCACCGCCGTCCACCCCACTCCACTGTTCTCTTCTCGCCGCCTGCTTCGGCAGTCGTCACCCAGTCCCAGTACCCGCTGCTTTATTCCCCTGCCCGCCCTGCGCCGGCCAGCGCCATACATACCACTGCCGTTTGACCTCGAGCCCCTGCCAGCCCCGTGCCCCCACCCTTCCTTTCCCTTTCCCCGCCATTAACCTGACGCGCACTAGGCGCAGCTGCCGCGGCCGCAGACTCGCAGTCGAGAGGTCGACGGCGACTCCCCCTCGGCCCACGGAAAAAGTCATTCCCTTCCCTCAGTTCCCTGCTCCTGCTCGCCCGAAAAAGCCCCCGTTTTGCAGGCCCGTGCCCGCCATTACGCCCTGCTCCAGTGCCCTGCCCTGCCCCGATTCAATGCCGTCGTTGCCTTCTTGAGTTCGTCTCGTCGCGCATATCACATCCTCCCCGCCCCGCTGCTCTGCTCCCTCTCGTGCTCCTCCCGCCCACCGCCCAAGCAAGCATCCTCCTCACGCCTCGCTGTAAACCAACCCTTTTGAGGCTTGGAAGCACCTGCGTGTCCGCGCCTGCCTCCCTCACCGGCCGGAAAGCTCCAACCGAGGATTTTTGTTTGTACGCACCTGCTTGGCCCTTCCTGTGGTCACATCGCCCGCTCCCGCGTCAAAAAATATGAGAGGAGGAAAGTTTGGGATCAGGACCAGTTCCCCGGTGTCCCGTCCCCTCATGTGCCCGCGCCAGTGAGCCCGAAAAGGACCCTGCCGGGACGTGCGCGCCTATACCTCATACCTGCCTGCCGATTCTATCTTGCCCGACCCCTCTCTCTCTCTCTCTCTCTCTCTCTCTCTCTCTCTCTCTTCTCGTCCCAATTCTGATTGCCGGCGAGTTCCAATCTCGGCGCCGCCTTCATGCCAGTCATGCGCCCGGGAATGCAGGTTCCGGAGGCACTCGCCCGCTAATCTCGACACGGTTTCAAGGCTTTGGACTTGGAGCTCGAGGTACCCTCACTTCGCTGCAGGCAGTCGCCTCTGTTTTTGTTTTGTTTATATACGAAGTATTATTTAATTACTGGATGGCAAATTTGGAGGTTGCTAAGCTTGTTGTATTTTGTGCCGCCGTGCCGTTTGATGTGATGTAACTGAAGCGGGTTTTCCGGATTCTTTCCTGCCATCTTCTCCTGCTGCTGACGCGACTTCAGTGTCTTCTCCCTAGGAGTGGAGGAGCGTGAAACTGAAGCTGGGCGCCGAGAATGGAGAGCCGAGGGCGGCGGCCGCGGAGCCCCGAGCGCCAGAGGCCGCAGGCGGTGCGGAAGGTGCCGGTGGTGTACTACCTCACCCGGAGCCGCCACCTTGAGCACCCGCACTTCGTCGAGGTGCCGCTGGCCTCGCCGGAGGGGCTCTACCTCAGAGGTAAGCGGACGCGACCTCGCACGCAATTCCACTTTCTCTACCAGTGCTCGTTTACCGACGATGTTTTTTTTCCTGGGGCTGCGGCGGCCGGCGGGTTTCAGATGTGATTAATCACCTCAACATGGTGCGCGGCAAGGGCATGGCGGCGATGTACTCGTGGTCCTGCAAGAGGTACTGCAGCGCTGCTCGTTGCCCGTGACATTTTCTTGAGCTGCTTTTCTTGGCGAAAATTTTTGGTGTTCCCGTGTTGATCGGTCAGTCGATGGTTTTCAGGAGCTACAAGAATGGGTTCGTGTGGCACGACCTTTCGGAGGATGACCTCGTCGTCGCGGCGACCGACGGCGAGTACGTGCTCAAGGGCTCCGAGCTCGTGGACCAATCCCCTTCAGGTGAGCATATATTTCTTTTTTCTGAATTCGCATTTTTCATTTCTGAACTTGGACTAGAAAATTCAGTGCTCAATGGTTCTACTCAATTCGTGACAGTGTTGGCTGCTCGCTGATTACTAGTATTTTCTGGCTGTTCAGGTCCATTTTACCCTGTCAGTAACGGCAACCACCAAAAGCAACAGAGCAGACCGAAAGAGGGTGCACGGCAGCCATTGCCAAGAGATCATTCCTACCCATCCTCCCCTCCTAGCGTGATAGTTAGAGAAGCCAAGGCCCGGCGGTCACCGTCTGTGCCCTCACAAGATGAGGATGACACCCCCTCTCCGTGCAGGGATCGCTCCTTGGAGACCATGTCACAGCAGTCGGAGGAGCCCCAGAAGAATGAGAGGACTCAACTGCCAGTGAGCGGGTCTGCGAGCCCAGTAGAGTTCAGAGTTTACAAGCCCACCGGTTGCATGGATGCTGCAACTCAAACTGATGATCTTGGCAGAAGATCGGGTCGCAGAGCACCCGAGTTGCGCAAGAAGAGTCTGAGCACAGATCATGATGCTGTCGTTCGTGAAATTACAGAGTACCGGCAAAGCCATCCTCGCCGGTCAGCAGATCTCCAAGGGATCTCCAGGGAACTCCTGCACCAGTGTATTACTCCATTGAGCATACCGTCGACCCATGCCAAGTCCGAGAGTTTAGAGTCGTTGATACGAGCGGATAATGTGACGAACAGCTTTAGGATTCTTGAAGAGGAGGATATTGTTGTGCCCACCTGCCCAAAGCTAAAGCCGACAAATGTACTGATGCAGCTCATCACTTGTGGCTCACTTTCGGTGAAAGATCAGGAAAATGCTGGAATTGTTCAGACATACAAGGCAAGGTTCCCAAACCTGAAGTTCCCCTCGCCGCTAATTTCTCGCACCATGATGATGGGTGAGCTTGATTACCTCTCAGAAAATCCCAGGTTAATGGGAATGAGGTTGGAAGAAAAGGAATACTTCAGTGGAAGCCTTATTGAGACTAAGATGCAAAGAGATGTTCCAGCTGAGAGATATTCAGCGCTTAAACGGTCTTCTTCCTACAATGCAGAAAGGTAAACTCAGTGCTTCACTATGATCTTAATAGTGTACTTAAATAACTTCATATTTGGATATAATTTCTGGGTATACACAAATATTTGGGATAGACTAACTGTTCAAACCATACATAATTCCATGACGTACTTAGTGGCTGTAGATTTTGAAGAAAATATTTAGCTAGAGCGGCTCAACTGTCGAGACCTTCTAATCCATGACTTCATACTATTATGTATTGCAGAGTTTGCTTGTCCTTGTGCTTTTAGCTTATCAATTTGATCTTTGTTAGTTATGTTTCCTTTTCCAAAATTATTTCTCATCAAGAGTGGATCCAATGATATATGGGCATTGAATCCAAAATTTTGCACTAATTGCTGATAGGGACGCAAAACATTATTGGTTGCATATATGTTTTGCAATTTGGTTGGGTCTGTTTTAGGCTGGGATCAGAGAGTTAAGAGTTGGAGAAGAGCCATGTACTGGAGAATATTTATGAACGCTAGGACCATTGCTTTTGCAGTCGCCTAACACTAAACAGGTTGATACCAGAAACACTGTACGGTTGTCATATAATGCCAGCATGTAGCTGGCTTGTATCTATCAAACAAAATAGCAAAGTACGGGAATCTACCTGCCCGGGGAGAATTTGAGGTCTGCAGGATCCCAGATTGGTAATGAGAGAGTTGTAAAAAGGCGTGAAACAACATGACAAAACACTACAATCTCTCTGTTTTATCCATTTCTTATTTTACTTTCTTTGAATCTATCTGAATGTTAATACTATCCTTAGGCAGGGGCCATGACTAGTTACGGCGAACTGGCTTATAGTATAGTAAAGATGTAACCGAAAATACAGATCGGCGGGTGAATTCTCTCTCCGTCACTTCGTTGCTGTCACCAGTTCACTTCTGAAATTCTGGTGATCCCCTCATTCTCACGACACGAGCCGCTTGTCAGATGTATAGGACCACGTTGCTGGCTGCCAGGCAAGATTCTTCTGTTGCTCTACTGAAATACAGAAGTGACCCTGTTGGTTCATCCTCATTAACAGTCAGTTGCATTGTATCTTTCCAAGTTGTCATTCTATTGCTGGGACCATTTTTAAAAGAAAAAAAATACTGCAACTAAGAAGACAGTGGGTTCCATTCCATTCATCTGCATTGCTACTAGATCATGGTTTCTTCAGTCTGTTAAAACCCCAAAATTTACCTGGCAGAGCCACAACTTAATTACATTGGTCATTGGCGCACTTGACATAATTGATGGCCTAGGATTGTGCTTGGCATGTATTTTATTTTCGTTTCATGGTGGAACATGCTCTCACACTTGAAACTAATCTGCAGGGCCGGCGACGCTCTAGATTGCACAAGACGTGAAGAGGATAAAACCGACGACACATCATCGCGCACGAGGTGCCTCCCCCGGACGCCAATCCTGTCATCCTTCTTGCACCCGAAGGGCGACTCGCTCAAGTCTCCCGTCTCGGACTGCCGGCGGAGCTCCTCGGCCCGGCAGGACTGCGACGCGGCCTCCGGGAACGGGAGCAGGAGGTTCGCCGACGCCTCGGTAGCGTCCGCGACTGCAACTACAAGGGCGGACTCGTTCAGGAAGGAGGAGAAGCTCGTCAAGATCGAGGAAAGTTAAGTGCCGCCCGTGGCCTTTCTTACCTGAACCTACTGTGAACTCTTTGTCAGTGCTCGGTATGCACTCGATCGATGCTTTTTCTTGTTTTGGCCCCGTCGTCGTCTTGACGGAGTGGAATAATCCGGGCGTGTGGTCCGATCCTTCTGGTATTGAGGGCTGTGCTTTGAACCGTGTTCGTGCAGGCTGTCGTCCGGAGCCCGCGTCGTGATCCACTACACCGTCCCTTGCAACGACAGCGACGAAGGCTCTGAACGCTCAGAGGAGTGACAATGCTGCAGGGATCCTGCTGTTGCTTTGGCAAATTAGATTGGGTTTACATTGCCTGAAACATGCATTCATCTAGATGACCCATTTTTCTTCCCGGTTTTTTACTTTCTTCCTTAGAAATTTTAGGTCCCCTTATCATGTATAAGTGCCTGTTATAATGTATCATTTATGCGTTTCGCAAAAAAAAAAAAGATGTATCGTTTATGTAGTTTCTCCGCTGTGGTTTCATAATAATTTAATTATATTGTTTAATGGTAGCTGTGTGGTGAGTTGGCAAATATTAATCAAAGACTGTTTGTTACTGTGTGGCTCTTTTTACGCTGGGCCATGTGTGCAGCCCATAGCCCATGGGCCTCACAGTTGATGCAGGTTGAGAGAGGCCTGGGCTTCGAGGGCACAAGGGCCTGTTTGGATTCATGCAACCACCACGCGTGAGCCCATGGCGGTGTTCCCGACTGGAACTCGTAGCTCCAACTCCAAGCTTGATGCTTTTCCGTCAGAGAAGATGCGATTGGAATGGGATCACATTTTTTTTGACTGTCGAATAGGATCACATCGCCTGGTTTATTCAGCATCAGTCAAAAGTCAAAACCATAGCTTCGCTTAGAATCTGTGTATATGCAGTAAACATGCCTGAAACCCTGCATGCTAATTGTCGTGTAGCTTCCCCTTCTTATATTCAGTTTGATTAAGCGTGACGAAACCCAATTATTAGTTCAATCTGGTTGCTTAATGAACTCGTGCGAACACTATCAACAAGGAACTAATGCGAATCTATTTCTTGAAAGAAATTTGATGCAATTGTAACATGAACTCGTGCGAACACTATCAACAAGGAACTAATGCGAATCTATTTCTTGAAAGAAATTTGATGCAATTGTAACATGAACTCGTGCGAACACTATCAACAAGGAACTAATGCGAATCTATTTCTTGAAAGAAATTTGATGCAATTGTAACATACAGTAATCAACAAGAGGCACGGTATAATTAATTTTTACTGTTTACATCTGTTCCGGTGGGGAAATAGAGAGAAAACGATCAACAATTTTTTTTTGCCGTGGCTGCCAAATACAGTAAACATCCAATCGTCCCAACTAAATCTTGGACGAAGAAACAGAGGATGTTACAAACAATCACGAAGATTAAAGATTTTTACAGCTTGTATATGTAGCCAACAGTGATAACAACTCAACAGGATCAGTAGATCACCAAGATCTAAGCCCTAATCCTGGCACGCCTCACTCCAGCTCCCAGATCGCTCTTCTGTTCTGCACGGCTGTCTCGACGTCTCTGCTCGTTGCCTTCTCCCTCGCGGCTGCTGCATCGGTGGAAACCGCCGTCACCCGCCCTGCCGCCTCCGCCGCGGACACCGAAGGAGGAGCGGCGGCTACCTTCTTGGACATGTAGGGCAGTGCGTACGTCGGGCGCGCAGGCGGTGGCGCGGGCGTGTACCGGTCACGGCGCTGGCAGGAGCAGCAGTAGCAGCAGTGCTGGTGGCGATGGTGGTGGTGGTGGAAGGACGGCTGCACATGGACTCCTCCCGCGAGCTCCTGCGCGCTGTGGACGCGCCGCGTCGGCCGGTGCTGGTGCTGCGCTCGCACGGTGACCGCCTGCTCGCTCTGCACGCGCCGCATCGACGACGGCGGCGCCAGGGGTGGGATCCCGGCTTTCGTCGTCTCTCTCTTTGGCCCGGCGGAGGACGATGCGGTGGCGGTGGTGACGAAGACCCGGAACCTCGCGGCCGGCCGCGTGGCGCGCAGGCGGTCGTACTCGTCGCGCATGTGCGCGACCTCCTCGTCGCAGGTGACCGTCACGATGACGTCCTCGAGGCCCTCGTCCGCGAGGCGGTGCCTGATGCTGATGGCGCGCACCTCCTTCGCCGAGCCGCCGCCGGCCATCTCCGCCAGCCGTGCCGCCAGGTCTCGGAAGGACACTGCGCGCGGCACGACGAGGACGCGCGTCTCGCCGCCGACGTACCGGGGCTCGCCGTCGGGCCCGCAGGGCAGGAAGCGGCCGCCGTGGCTGCACAGCAGCTTCATGTGCGTATCGTCGCAGCGGCGGGAAGCTGGTTCTGGCGCCATGGGGGCCGGGATCGGATCGATCGAGTCGGAACGGGTCGAGTGGTGTGCTGGTGTGCGATCGGAGGGGTCGAGGAGATTGGTTTGGGAGAAATAAAAGCTATCGCGGGGCGATAGAATGCTGCGTGTTGATCGTGTTTATATGGAGAGTGCGAGGCGAATAGAATGCAATTCGAGTTCGGGTGGGAATTGGGAGTCCGACAAGGCGAATAGAATGCAATTCGGTACGGGGTGCGCCGGGTACCAACTGCATGTCCATGGGCCGGGGCAGGTTAACAGCTGGCGCCGCCATAAGCCCATAACTAGCCCACCATCAGAAAATCAGGCAGACTGCTGTGGGCTCAGCCTGCCCACCATCGAGTGACCACGGCCCATCAAAAGGTGATTTGGCGAAGTGTGTGATTTTCGAGAGAGAGAGAGAGAAGTCTATTTTACCTCTCTCTGAGCTACTATTGATTTTGAAGTCCAGATTTTTTTTACTCAAACTTCAAAACTATCATAACTCCCTACCCGTTCTAGAGTGATTTTCAAGATATTTTAATCGTTTTAGTTCAAAACCAGATCTAAGTTTTTAAACCAAAAACTTATCTTCGAGCTTCTAAAAAGTCAAGAAAAAACTTAGATATAAATATCTATAGAATCATAAAAAAACCAGTTTAGATCCAGAAAGATGAAAAATATAGAAAGATCTAGAAAATTTCCAAAAAATTAATTTCCCACCCAACCGATGTTTCTGTATTTTTGGAACGACATGGCTAGCGCCCGGATGCCGGAAGCCTGCGCCTGCTGGCCTCCTGCGCCTCCCCGCCTGCTCGCCCACCAGGCCGTCTACTCGCTTGGGTGCCTGCTCATGTCGCCCGCCTAGTCGTTTGCTCGCCCGGTAGCTGTTCTCGTCTGCTCGCCCGCTGCCCTGCCTGCTTGCCTACCTGGCCAGTCTGCTTGCCCAACCACTGCTCGTGTGTAGCCGTCTGCTCGCCTGACCGCTTGCTCACCTTGGTTCGGCTGCCTGGCCTGTCTGCACGCCCAGCCACCTGGTTGCGACTGCTCGCCCGCTGTCCTGCTGAAAGCTCTAGTTTGGTTTTAGTTAATTGATGAAACCCTAAGTGCTAACCTAGTTTATCAAAGTGATTATGAGATAGGTAGCACTACTCCAAGTGATGAAGCAATGACGAAAATCATGACAATGGTGATGGCATAGTGATGATCAAGTGCTTGAACTTAGAAAAGAAGAAAGAGAAAAACAAAAGGCTCAAGGCAAATGTATAAATTGTAGGAGTCATTTTGTTTTAGTGATCAAGATACGTAGCGAGTGTGATCACATTTAGGATCGATAGCCGTACTATTAAGAGGGGTGAAACTCGTATCGAAATGCGGTTATCAAAGTGCCACTAGATGCTCTAACTCATTGCATATGCATTTAGAATCTAGTGGAATGCTAACACCCTTGAAAATGATTTGTGAAAATATGTTAACACATGTGCACAAGGTGATACACTTGGTGGTTGGCACATTTGAACAAGGGTGAAGAAGTTAGAGGTGAAATGGAGTTGGTCGAAATGATGCTGGCGTCGGTCTACTGACCGGACGCTGGGTCACTCAGTGACCGGACGCTGAAAGGCTGCGTCCGATCGAGCTGTCAGACGGCACAGTGGTTAGGATTAAGCATCGGACGCTGGGCTGTGTCCGATCAAGCTTGACCGGACGCGTCCGGTCGGCAAAAATAGGATTTGGACCCTTACTGGAAACGACCAGACGCTGAGGGTCCAGCGTCCGATCAGCTCTGTCGGAGCGTCCAGTCAACTTTTTGACTGTTGAGATCAAACGTTCACAGTTGAATGCAGGTGACACATGGCCGCCATCGGGCGACCAGACGCTGAGGACCAGCGTCCGGTCAGTTCGGCCGAAGTGTCCGGTCAGCCCGATCAGTGCCCACTGAAAGGGTACAATGACTCTATTTCGTCGGGGCTTCTATTTAAGCCCCATGGCCGGCTCAAGCTCACTCTCTTGGCTATTTTCATTGACATAACAACCTTGTGAGCTTAGCCAAAGCCCTCCCACTCATCTCCATCATTGATTCATCATTATTGTGAGATTGGGAGAGAATCCAAGTGCATTGCTTGAGTAATTGCATCTAGAGGCACTTGGCACTCGTGTTTCGCTGCGGGATTCACTTGTTTCTCTTGGTGGTTGCCACCACCTAGACGGCTTGGAGCAGCGGTGGAGGATTGGCACGAGTTGGTGATTGTTCGTGGCCATCTCCGATGATTGTGAGGGGAGTTATACCTTCCCCGACGGAGTGCCGAAAGGTAACTCTAATATATTGCTCGTGTCATTGAGTTACCTCATTTGTGGGTAGGTTCTTGCGGTGTCCAATCGTGTGGACGAGGTTTGTGAAACACCTCTTAGCCGTTGAACCACCAAGTGTTGGTTGACACAACGGGGACTAGGGTGTTGGCAAGCATGTGAACCTCGGGAGAAAAATCGATTGTCTCTTGTCATTTGTATTCTCCCGGTGATTGGTCATATCTTCATCTTGTGATTGGTTCACTCTCCGACGTGATGGTATAATCGTATCACTTACTCATTTATATTTTCACAAACTAGATATAGCAAGCTCTTTAGTGTAATTAGAATTGAGAGCTTGCCTTGTGCTTTAATTTTATCTAGTGGAGCTCTTTAGTGTAGCATTTGTAAGAGCTCTTAGTGAGTAGTGATCAAGTAGATTGTGTGCCCATTAATCATTGCTACTAGAATTGTTGAATAGGTGGCTTGCAACCCTTGTAGAGCTAGAGCAAATTTGCATTACGCTATTTGTCTTACTAATCAAATTGCTCTAGTTGATTTGTAGTTTTTAAATAGGCTATTCACCCCCCTCTAGCCATATTAGGACCTTTCAAGTGGTATCGGAGCCGTGGTCACCGTTTGTGTAAAGGCTTAACAACCTCGGTGTCAAATTATGGCTCAGGTTGTGTTCAACCATGTGGGGGGCAAACCACCATTCTTTGATGGCACAATCTATGATTATTGGAAGAGAAAAATGAAGATGTATCTTGGTTCAATCAATGATCAAGTGTGGGAAGTGACGGAAAATGATTATGCTATCATTGATCCGGACAATCCTACCAACCAAGATAGGATCAACAAACAATGCAACATAATGGCGCTCAACACCATATACAATGCCATTGATTCAAAGGTGTTTGAGCAAATCAAGGATTGTGAAAGAGCAAATGAAGTGTGGAGGAGATTGGAGGAAACCTATGAGGACACACCGGAGGTAAAGAGTGCCAAGTTATATATTCTCAAGGACAAGTTGATAAGCTTCAAGATAAAAGATGATGAGAGCATTCCGGAGATGTTCCACCGCTTGCAAGTCATTGTCAATGACTTGAAGGCTTTGGGAGAGAAGATCAAGAATAATGATGTCTCTTATCGGTTCTTGATGAACCTACCTCCAAGGTTTGAAATGTTGAGATTGCTAATCATAAGAGGAGGATTGAAGGAGATCACCCCCAACCAAGTACTAGGTGAAGTCATGACACAAGAAACATACCGTGTGGAAAGGGAGGGGGATGACAAGGAGGACAAGAAGGAAGATGAGGACAAGAAGAAGAAGAGTGTAGCATTCAAGGCTAGCTCATCATCATACAAGAACAAGGGCAAGTCCAAGAAAGAATCAAGTGATGATGAGGATCTTAGTGATATTGATGATGAAGCTATGGCTCTCTTTGTGCGCAAGATGGGCAAGTTCATGAAGAAGAAGGGATACAATGCAAGAAAGAGAAGAGATCACACTAAGAGCAAAGAGTATGTGAGAAGATGGTACAATTGCAAGAGCCCCGATCATGTTGTAGCAAATTGTCCTTACAATAGTGACAATGATGAAGATGAAAAGAAGAAGAACAAGAAGGACAACAAAGAAAAGAAAGAAAAGAAGGAGAAGAAGATGACCTTCCAAAAGAAGAAGAAAGGTGGAGGCTATGTGGTAACATGGGATAGTGATGGCTCTTCGGATGATAATAGCTCTAGTGATGATGACAAGAAGCATATCAAGAGAGCACTAGCAAGCATCGCCATCAACAACAAGCCCTCTATCTTCGACACTCCGTCGACATGCCTCATGGCAAAGCCTACTAAGGTAAAATATGATGAGAGTGATGATGATGAATGTGAAAGTGATTCTTGTAGGAATGATGATAATGATGATGATGAGGAGGAGTACACCAAGGAGGAACTCTTGGACATGTGCGAGCAAGTGCATGCTTGCAATGAGATGAAGAGAAAGGAGTGCAAAGAATTACGCAATAAGGTAAAATTTCTTGAGCAATCCTTTGATGAACTCAATGCCACTCATGAGAGGCTAATGGAAGCCCATGAGAAGCTTGGCAAAGCTCACTCTAAGCTTGAAAAAGCTCACTCCTCTCTCATTGAGCAAGTCAAAGTGGAAGAAGCCAAGAAGGAGTAAGTGATTGTATCTTGTGATGTGGGACTAACATGTGATCTTATTGATGAATCTTTTTATAAGCCCATTATAGTTGCTCCCACTAACACTTCTTGTAGCACTACCACTTCCACTTCACCTTTGAGTGATGGTCTCTCTTGTGATGCCTCACTAATGATGGAAAATGAGACCCTCAAGAAGGAGGTGAATGAGCTCACTCGTGCATTAGGCAATGCCTATGGTGGAGATGCCCGCTTGCTAAAGTGCTTGGGTAGCCAAAGATTTTCTCTCAACAAAGAGGGATTAGGCTATACCCCCAAGAAAAGCAAAGCGGCCTTTGTCACTCCCAAAGTTAGCTTTGTGAAGGGTAATGGTAGGTTTTGCAATAGATGCAAGCAAGTTGGGCATATAGAGCAATATTGCAAGATTAACAAGAACAAGCTACCTAATGTATCCTCAATTAAATTTGATTCGTGTTACATGCTTTTTAATGGTGCCAATGGTGTGAAGACTAAGTTCATTGGTACACCAATTGTGGGCCCAAAGAAGAATGCCATTTGGG